GGTGTTTCTATAATTTGGTTACTGTAGATAGTCCTGCAATGAACATAAGAGGCATATATACCCCTTTGAATTAGTTTGCATTCTTCAGCTGATTCATAGAAGTGAAATTGCTGGATCATATGGTAGGTAGGTTTTTAATATTTTGAGAAATTTCCATGCTGTTTTGCTTTGGGAGTAGACCAATCTAAATTCCCACCAATAGTATACTTTCTCACCAACACCTCTTGTTTTTGGTCTTTTCGGTATGGGCCAATATCACTGGTGTGAGGTGGATTCTCATTGTGGTTTTGACTTAAATGTCCCTAGTTATAAGTGGTGGTGAGCATTTTTTCATGTGCAAGTGACTATTTAGCTTTCTGTCCATTTTTTGACTGGGATATTTGTTTTCTCTCTGTTGAGTTGTATGAGTTCTTTGTATATCTTCAATATTAGCTCCTTGTCCGATGTATGATGTACAAATATTTTCTCCCATTTGGTAGTGTGTTTTTTGTTTTAATAATAGTTCCTTTTTTGTTGAGAAGCTTTTTAGTTTGATGTAGTCCCAATTGTTTATTTTTACTTTTGTTTCCATTTCTACTGTAGTGTCCCCAAAGTCATCTCTGAAGCAAATATCATGGAGTATTTTGCCTATGTTTCTTTTATGTATTTTATGGTTTCAGGTATTACATCCAAGTCTTTATTTTTAATTAATTTCTGTGTCTAGTATAAGATAATGGCCTAGTTTTAATCTTTTCTAGGTGGCTGTCCAGTTTTCCCAACACCATTTGTTGAAGGGATTTTATTTCTCTATTGTATAATCTTGGCAGCGTTGTAATATATTAACTCACCATATACGTAAGAGTTTATTTTGGGGTTCTCAATTTTATTTCATTGAACTGTATGTTTATTTTTATTTCCTTACCATATGTTGTGATTACTATAGCTTTGTAGTATAATTTGAAATATGGGAACTTAATGCCTCTGTTCTTTTTGTTGGAATGTTTTGTCTGTTCAGGGTTTTATGTGGTTTCATGCAGATTCAGTAATTTTCTATTTCCTTGAAGAATACTGTAGAATTTTTCTATAGGAATTGCACTGAATCTGTGTATTACTTTGGGGAAGACGGTCATTTTAAGAATAATAATTCTTCTGATCCATGAACATGGATTATGTTTCCATTTCTTTGCGTGTTTTGTATTTCTTTTAACAGTGTCTTATAATTTTCATGGTCTAGATCTTTCACCTCCTTTATTTCATCATTCTTTTTTTATGTTATTGTAAATGGTGTTGTTTTTTGATTTCTTGCTCTTCTAGTTCATTGTTTTCATGTAGAAGTGTAATCAACTTTTGTATATTTATTTTGTAGCCTCCTACATTACTGTACCAATTGTTTCCAACAGTTTTTCATGGTGTCATTAGAGGTTTTTTTTTAATGCATATTGTTATCTGCAAATAGTGATTGTTATACTATTTTTTCCAATTTGGATTTATTTTATATCTTTCTCTTGCCTAATTGCTCTAGCTAGGACTTCCAATATTATGTTTAATAGTAGTGATGAGAGAGCAGAGCCTTGTCTGGTGTCTGATCTTAGAGGAAAAGTTTTCAGTTTTTCACCATAGAATATAATGTTAGCTGTAGGTTTGTCACATATGGCCTTTATTATGTTAAGGTATGTTCCTTCTATCTCCATTTTTTGAGAGTTCTTATCATAAATGGATTTTGAAACTTGTTAAATGATTTCTCTGCATCTATTGATATGGTCATATGATTTAGCTTTCATTTTGTTGACATCATGTATTACATTAATTGATTGGCATTTGTTGAAACATCCCTGCACTTCTGGGAAAAATCTCACTGGGGTCATTGTGATATATGATCCTATTAATGTTTTGTTGAGATTTTGCTAAGATTTTGTTGAAGAGTTTTTTAATTTATGTTTATTGGGGATAGTGATTTGTAGTTTTCTTTTGTGATGTTCTTGTCTGCTCTTTGTATTGGGTAATGCCGGCCTCACAAATTATGTTTGGAAGCATTCCTTCTTTAACCTTTGGCAAAAGTTTGAGGACAGGTATAAGTTCATCATTAAAGGTTTTGTTCCCATTTTTAAAAGGCATGTCATTGTGATCCCATTTTAGAAAGATTTTTACTGAATAAAAATATTTTAGATGGAAAGTAATATTTCATTAATCTGGGAAAGTTTGGGGTCTCAAGATTCTCTTGTTCTCCATGTGGCTTTAATATGCTTGAATCAGGAAAGGTGGTATATTGAGTTGAAGAGAATACAAAATAATAATAGCCACAGGTATCATTTAGTGGGCAGTTGCTTACTTTCTGTTTTATTTGCAGTTTAGAGACTTTATATGCTATTTTCCCCACTTATTTTTCAAAACAACTCTGTAGAGCATGTATCACCCCATCTCACAGATGAAGAGACTTTGGGTCAGAGAGTTCCCTCAGTCACTTCACCAAAGAGTGGCAGAGTTGGCATTTAAACTCATGTACTTCTGGCACCAATGTGGGAATCACACATTTTTACCGCAATACCAACCTGGTATGAAAAACTAAACTTTAGGTGTTTTCTCAGAATTAATACTTTTTCTCTTTCGCCTCTCTCTGTTTATTTCCCCTTTTTCTACTCTCTTTTTTTTGTCCTTTGTTGTGTATTAACTTGTATGTGAGACTCATAATCCAAGCTGCCTGGATCAAAGCATGATTTTGAAACATTGCTCTTGCAAGACCCTTTGCCTGGAGATGCTGAACCTGTAAACAAGGAGGCCCCCACCCCCAAATGTCTCGTGCACCAGGCTTTGATCCTGGGAAAATGAGTGGGAGGTTGCCTTCTGTACTTTTAAAGAATGTCTTTGCATACATGTAATTCTCTTAGCAACTAAAGTACCAGGAAGAACACATTTCTACCCCAGTACAGAGCCGTACTAACCCAGTACAAAGCACGCGCGTGCGCACGTGCACACGCGCGCGCGCACACACACACACACACACAAAATCACAGTGATGTCTTCACAAAGACCTAATGCATGTCCCAAGAAATTATTTTTGAATGTCTTTATTGTTCTCATTACCAGAGTAATAGATGCTCTTTGCAAAATTTAAATTATTGCAGAATTAGAAAATTAAAGATACCTCATAATTCCATTAATACCATCCCCAAAGATAATCCATGTTAACAATTTTAAAGAAATTCTAATGTGTGAATTAATTCTTCAAGTCAAATGGTTCCCCTCTCCCCCTTTCCTCCTGTTTGTGCTTTTGGCTTAGAACATTGTCTAGCTGGAGTGCTGAGGATTAAGGTTGTTGACCTTCCTCCTTTGTTTCTCCTCTACTCTCTGTTGTTCATATTCAAGATGTCCTTTTCAAAGACAGGCAGAGTAGCTGAAAGGAGGAAGGAAGGTATCATTCATCCAAAATGTGAGTGACTTCATTAGTAAAAAAAATCTAAATTGATGTGTTATTACTCAGTATCCTTTACTGAGTAGTTCATTGAGTACAGGGAATACTTTCCTTTGTATGGGATTTGATTTCATTTTTGACCAAATTGGTACTATTTATTTGACTTTGTATAGAAATATGAAAAGAGAAGCTTAAATATTTTAAATTTTGTGAAAAAAAACGAGGGATTTTCAAGTATTTGGAATTGCATTATGGCATCTGTAGTTTACAGAGAAGGAAACAGGGGCTCTAAAATGTTTGAATGTCTTCTACCCTTTGCTACAGTGAGCTGTGTGTGTGAGCTCCGCATGCTCTCTGGATAGATGCTCTTTCAGCTTGTGAACTGACGTCTATTTTTTTAAATGACCAGCATTCTATAGAAGCCATCAGAAAGCACAGATAAGCAGTGTTAACATTTGCTATGTATTCCTTCCCACATCCTCCTCTGTGTATATTAGGGACACGTCCTGACAGGCTCCATAGTGTAGTTACATGAAGTCTGATGCTGGAATTAAATAGTGAAGGTTCAAATCCTGGTCCTAACATTAGCTCATCACCTTGGTTAAGGTGCCTTTTGGGCATGGTCCCATCCATGAATAGGAATAATGGTAGCACGTTTCTTTTTGGGAAGGATTATGAAGTAACAAGACACTACGTATAAAGTCCCTGACATAGATTAAGCACCCAGCCAATGCTAATGTTTATTAGTTATATTTTTGTAAGAAATGGGTTCATACTATGAATCTGGATATCTACCCAGTAGAGATCATCTACTTCTGAATCACAACTTATTTTTAAAATCTCCTATGAGCCATATCTGCATCATTCTTTTTATGGTTGTATTATGATTACAATTGTTGTATTATTATACAATTGCTGTGATTTATTAGATCATATGGTGGCCAAAGAGCCATCTGTTCTGTCCATCCTCGGAAAACAGTCGTGTGTTCTAATGTCCTCAGCTGGAGAAGCTTGAGACCTTTAGTAGTACGCAGTTTTATCTGAACCAGAATGTAGTGTTTTTTTAAGAAACATATGAGAATCTTCCTACTATTATATACAATTAAGCTTCTAAACATTCCAAGATACTCTCTACTAGATAGATTTCCAGGCTTGTAAATATATGAAATTTCTTATGCATTTGTCCTTATTTTCTAAAACATCACTGTTGATATCAAAGTGCATATTTTCTATCTTGATAAGTGAATCAGTGTCTGAATATCTCCCTGACTTTAGTTTTTGAACACTACATGACTGGCTTAATTAGAAAAGAAGAAAGTGCCGTAATTCTGCCATAAGCTGGCAATAATGCAGCAGTGGGGTGCTGACGAACCTTTATTATTCAAATGCTCATGGCTTCTTGAATAAAGTGGATGACTAAGTATACTTCTCACAGTAAGAGAGATTATTAGCAGTGGGAGACACATTTGAACTTGCTGAAAGGGCTGCCTTTGTAGCTAGAAGACTGGCACTCAGTAATTATTAGACCAGGTCTTCATTTTATCCCAGCTGTCTTTCCTTTTTCACGCTTGCAATGTCTGAATAGCTTTCTATTGCTTGCTAATCCCTGCAGGAATGTGGCTTTGGCTACGGGGAGGATGCCCAGTGTGTGACATGCCGGCCTCACAGGTTCAAGGAGGACTGGGGCTTCCAGAAGTGCAAGCCATGCCTGGACTGTGCGCTGGTGAGCCGCTTCCAGAAGGCTAACTGTTCTGTCACCAGTGATGCCGTCTGTGGGGACTGCTTGCCAGGGTATGTTGTACCATTTCTTTCCCTCATAATTATTTATTGTGAAATTGGCATTTCTCTTACTCCCTTCCAAATAGTGAATGCACTTGGATATTAACCTGAACACATTTAGCGCTCATGACCTTTTGTCTCAATATTCACCACTAGTTCTTTGGGCCTTCTACGTGCTAATGCACCATGATAGATTTTGGTTGTAAATAAAATGAAAACGCATGCTAACAAAGAATGGGTGTCATGAAAATCCAAAGAGTTCCTCCACATCAATAAAAAAACAAAGCATGCACAAATGACAAGAGAATGAACAGGCTATTCACAGAAGAGCAAACAGGTATATTCTGTGTTCAAATGAAGATGTTTATCCTCCTTGGTGATCAGAGAAAATGCAAATCACAACCATTCAGTTATTTCAGCGGAAATTCTAGGAGCAGCTGTGAGGCACTGGTTAGGTCCAGAGGCAAAAATCCCTACCCATGGGAGCCTCTATCTTAATGAGGTTTTTAAAAATATCTCAACAGTAAATAATAAAGAAGTAAATTATGCAGAAAGATGGAGGATGATGATTATTGCAGAAAAAGAAAGCTAGACCTTTCTTTTTGGTGGGATTAGTTGTGGCCCCAGTGACGGGTAGGCAAGGTGCATGTTAAAGTGGGCAATCAATGCAGGCATCATTGGTCAAATCAGAGCTGAACAAAAGGTTGAAGTCAGGGAGGTGATAACTGAGCTCCTATGTGAGGGAAGAGCATTTAGGCACAGGGAATCACAAGAGACAGGCCATAAAGTCTGCCTTGAACTTGATATTTTTAAGAAACTGCAAAGAGGAAAGGGGGAGCAGAGAAGAAAGTGAGGGCTGAGGGGGTAGGAGTGGGTAGGGCAGGTGTGAGTGCTGCAAATCTTCAGTGTGCAAATCCCCAGACCATGGGGAAAAAGAGACCATACTGGGCCAGGTGGAGAAACAAAGCACAGAGGAGGAATTTTTAAGTTTTTAGTGCTTCTAGGTAACCATCGGACAGATAAGTCAGACCAAACAGTCAGTAGGAGGACAGCTGGTGTGGAGAGCTGGATCAGAGGAGCATGGGTGATCATCTGCTAGGGAATGAAGAGGCCTGACTACACAGGGTAAGAAGGAGAGACAGAATAGCTAATGATTTAGTGGGTGTGGAGTGGAGCTAGTGTTAGCCAACCAAAGACAGAGGGAGAGACAGACCAGAATTCCGGAGCTCTGAAAACCAGACCTTATAGCAAAGGTGAAACACATTTCAGGAACAGCAAACATGCAGGTGGCTAAGCAGTTTATATTTCTGTAATGTTCACAGTGTTTTAAAAATGTAGAAAGTGAGATTTGCCCAGGTTTAAGGTATTTCAGACAAAATCTTTTAGCCCATAAGTGTGATGCTGGAGCAACTTCCAGGAGTGTGACACCAGAACCCACACTCCAGGCAACTGCAGAGAACTCTGGGAGGACTCACCAGAACATGCCCACAAGATCAGGATGATTTTGACCTAGTGGCTCAGTGATAGTTCTGGAGTTCGCGCTGAGGCCAGAAACGTAAATAAATCTTTAGGCCTCACAGCTTCCTTCGTCAAAAAGCTATATATAGAGGGGGGCGGAGCAACATGGCGGCGAGGAGACGCTGCGAGTAAGATCTCCCATTAAAAAAAGTGAATAGGGAGGAAAAGCGGCAGGTCCCAGTGAGAACTGGGACACGGAAGATAAACGGGTGACGCCAGCGAACTGCCCGAAGAAGAAAGTGGCCATAAAAGAGGACTAGAAGGGAGGGAAGCGCAGAACCCTGCTCCCCTCCCCCGCCCACAGAGGCGGCACTCTCCGACCCGCAGAGAGGAGGAAACAACAAACCAAAACAACCAACAAGAACAAACGACGCAGCAAGCGGGACTGTGAGCGGAAAGGAACTATTGCAGCCACCACACCCCGTGAACGGGAGCTGAGGCGAACCCTGCAGGATCCGCCGCGGCGGTGAGCGAACGGCTCCGGGCGCCATTAGAGAAGAACAAAGACCCCGGGAGACGCGCACACAGCCCGGGCTGCCGGTAAGCCTGCGCGGGAAACGCGGCGCGCCTGGCGCGCTTGAAAAGCAAGTGCAGACCGGGATCGCGGCTGCCCAGGTCCCCGCGCCTGCGACCTAGGCTTGCGGGGAGACGACCTAGGCTTGCGGGGAGACGCACGGAGGTCCTCACTGAGGTGAAGGTCCCTCCCTGAGTAAGCAGGAACCAGGCGCCCAGGCACGGGAGCCGGGTGCAAAAGGCGCCATTCCCGCGCCACTGAACTGGGCTACAGCCCGCGTCCTGGACCTGAGGGCTTTGAACTGAGACCCGGGGCACGAAAATTCGGGGCGTGGGTTCTCCACGACGGTGGGGCACAAGGCAGACACAGCACCCCAAAGCTGTTGAGGTGTACCCTACCATTCCCGCTCTGTTCTCTGTCCCACGGGGTGGGGGGAGGCGAAAAACAGCCCCCCAAGGACAATAGGAGAGATCTCTGGCGCCACCTAGCGACCAGGAAAAAAAAAGTCACTAACACCCTATAAAACAGGACATCTCTTAAGTCTGCTTGAAAAGGGCAGAAGGTTTCTGGAGGACCCAGTGGCCAGCCGGGAAGTTATTCCACGCCAGGCCCCTTCCGACCAGCAGTCTGAGCCCACAGAGGGAGCAGGCACCCACGTCCGGGGCAGACCGGGTGCGCAGAAGAGTGTGCCTGAAACCGGAGGCGCAGGGACTGCATCCCGCTTCGCCATTTGAGAACAGGGACATTTCTTCAGTAAAAACTGCCTAAAACCAGCAGAAAGCTCCCCCAGAAGACAGAGATGGCTCCTGGAAGAGCCAGAGGGGAGCGGAGAAGTTCACCCAAGATGTCAGTCAGTCCGAGCAACACAGTGTCCCAACGCATACGACAAATTAGAAAACAGACAGTAGGGAGTAGAAGAACCACACGCAACCTAAAAACTCCTCAGGAAAGAAGCACACCACAAAAAGAAAACCACTCCCCAGATTGCAACGACAGCAACTTGGAAGAACTTCTGAGCCTTCCAGAAAGAGAATTTAAAATTGCCATGATTAAAAAAGTAATAGATCAGAAGAAGGAAATTGAGTCCCTAAAGAGGGAAGTAAGAGAAATGCAGGAGATCAAAGAATTAATGGAGGAACTAAAGAACTCTGGGAAAAGCAATGAAAGCAGAATAGATGAAATGGAAGAACGAATAAGTAATCTTGAAGACACAGAAATAAAAAGAACCAAAACAGAAAAGGAAAGAGAAGTACGAAGGAAAAAGAATGAAGAAAGACTTCGGGAACTATCTGACTCCATGAGGAAAGGAAATATAAGAGTTATAGGAATTCCAGAAGGAGAGGAGAGAGATGTAGGAACAGAGAAAATATTCATGGATATAATTGAAGAGAACTTCCCAAATGAGAAGAAGGAGCTGAAAATTGATATACAAGAAGCAAGAAGAACACCAAACTTCCACGACGAAAGGAAAAACACAGCAAGACACATAATAGTAAAGCTCCCAAGAATCCAGGACAAGGAAAAATAATGAAGCTGACAAGAGGGAAGAAACAGATAACATTCAAAGGAAAACCAATCAGGCTGACATCAGACTTCTCTGAAGAAACACTACGGGCAAGGAGAGAGTGGAGGGACATAGTCAACAGACTCCAAGAAAACAGATGCCAACCAAGAATACTCTATCCCGCAAAGCTCTCTTTCCTCCATGAAGAAAGAATATGGACCTTCCCAGACAAAGAGAAACTCCGGAATTTCATTGCGACTAAACCCCCACTCCAAAAAATACTACAAGGAATCCTAAAGCCAGAACCTCAGAGGGACGAATAACAACGAAAGAAGACCAAAAAAAAAAAAGTTATTAAAAGAATAAATAAATAAAATCAAAGCAAAGACAAACATAATGGCAAATACAGATGCTAACATATCAATATTAACTCTAAATGTAAATGGACTAAACTCTTCAATAAAAAGACACAGAGTTGCAGCCTGGATTAAGAAACAAAACCCAACCTTTTGCTGTCTCCAGGAAACACATTTAGCTACAAAAGATAAAAATAGGCTCAAAGTCAAAGGATGGAAAACAATCCTACAAGCAAATGGGCCAAAAAAGAAAGCAGGAACAGCTATACTTATATCAGATAAAACAGACTTCAAACTCAAAAAATAAAAAGAGACCCCAATGGTCACTACATTATGATTAAGGGGACAATACTTCAAGAAGAAATAACACTCATTAACATATACTCACCAAACGAAAGAGCACCAAAATATATCAGACAACTGTTGTCCTCTCTGAAAACAGACATCAGAGAAAACACATATGTAGTGGGAGACTTCAACACACCACTATCAACAATGGATAGATCAACAAGACAAAAAATAAGTAAAGAAACTAAAGCTCTAAATAAGGACCTAGAGCATTTGGGCTTAACAGACATCTATAGAACACTAAACCCAAAAAAACGGAGTACACATTTTACTCAAGCGCACACGGATCATTCTCCAGGATCGATCACATACTGGGGCACAAGACAAACATCAACAGATACACCAAGATTGAAATCATACCAACCATCTTTTCTGACCACGAAGGCATCAAACTAGAAATAAATCATAAAAAGAAGGCAAGGAACTATCCTACCTCATGGAGATTAAAAGCCACACTACTGGAAGACCACTGGACTAACGAGGAGATCAAAGAAGAAATTAAAAAATTCTTTGAATTGAATGACAAGGAGGACACCAATATCCTAAATGTATGGGATGCAGCAAAAGCAGTAATAAGAGGAAAATATATAGCAATAGAAGCTCACATCAAAAAACAAGAAAGAACTCAAAGAAACAACCTAATCTCGAAGCTCAAAGATCTAGAAAAGAACAACAAAAAACCCCAGAACCAGTAGAAGAAAAGAAATAATAAAACCAAAGCAGAAATAAATGAAATTGAAACTAAAAAAACAATCCAAAAGATCAATGAAAC